AAAAAAAAAAAAAAAAAAAAAAAAAATACAAAAATAAAAATACCAACTAATCCAACCTTAGAGAGATTTAAAGACATCAGCAGTGTTGCTACTACAGTCCGCACACTAAATGAGTACATTGGAAGCCCCATTAGTGAACTACGTACGAGAGGTAAGGTGAGGGATAATAGCAGCTAATGTGGACTTTGGAGGATTTAAACGCGACCTTCTCTGTCTGAGTTCTGCATAGACCAAGGAAAATGAATAGAAAGAGCTGAAGATCTCAAGTGTTCCTAGTCACCTGCGAGGAATCCTGTTGATAAATTGTAAGAAAGGAAAGCACGCTGACCTCCTTCTCTTGTTCAAAGCACTTGGCACACTAGGGCAAAAGAGAGAGAGAATAGCACGCGTTTCACCGCACGTCTATACTTTGTGGTTCCCTTAGCGCTTTCTTCGGTGCGCACGTAGCGACTCTTGAATATTCAAGCTACGAATATCGTACTCGTTCTATATTTTCATTTTCATTGACCGAATGGCCAAGAAACCTTAGCACCGTATATACAAACTTGGCTGACAAGTCGTACCCGATCGACACGTCAATCGGGTACGTACCACGCGCGAATTTCGACTTTAGCTTCATCGCTCTGCGCGGACTCTTTTTAACGTACGAATAAAGGCAGGACTTTGATAATTGAGAAACATTTTATACGTGGAACGTAAATTAAATGTACCGTATACAACGATCTCGAGCAACAGGATCGGCATACAGAGTATCGCGGCTCGTGCCCGCGCATGCGCAGTCTCCCGAGCGATGTGAAGTAAAGTGAAGGTGCTGATGACGTAAAGGCTCATGTACCGTGAAGTTAGGAAGGGAGACGTGTCAGATTATGTATACCACTGGGAACGACTATAGCATACTATTTGTCACCATGTACCCATTTACCAACCACCATACGTCACAATGCTACACCGTTTATATTGTCAGACATTTTTTTACACTCGTTCTCCTAGATCGCAAGGAGTATGTTATCCAGCATACGGTGCGATGATCGGAGAACATCCTGGACAAAGTACCTACTGAGTTTAACGTTTCGACATAAGAACGTACGGGGGGTACCGATAAACGATTTTCCATTGCACCAGGGTCGCCTCGCACCATCGAAACGAGCGGGCAGTACCGTGCGCACTCCACTTTTACTTCGTTAGAAAAATCTGCCATGTATATCAAGGCCATCGAGTTATCAATTAGAGTCGGCCAGTCGGTCGGTATCCAATATAATGCGATAGAGAAGGACGGCCATCCTGCCGTAGTCCGTCCACAGAGCACACGTGTAACAAGGCTTGACATAATGGTCGAACCCTTCTACGATTTTTTTCAAATGCTCAACGCGAGACTTTCGTCATCTTAGTAATCATAGCTCAATCACCTTTCGTGTAGGAGATTCGAAGAAGAATGAACCAAGGACACGAAGGAGAGTCAGGCAAAGAAGTAATGATCAAAGCTCAATGTCCACCCTCGTCAAATCCTACGACTGTAGTACCGGTCGACGGTACACGAGCCTTGTTCACTGTTACGGGTCTAGTTTGTCGTAGATGCCAAATTACTACATGCCTACGCCACATACGCCACATACGCCACATACGCCTTAACTCCAGCAACCGTCGAGTCCCTGACCCCGTAACCCAAAACACGTTTCGAATACTCTTACTCTTACGCGCATTAATGATCGCTTTCGGCCGTCTTAGTCCACCGATTCCCAAGCCGATCGATCATTTCGCTCGTTCGATCGTTTACCGTTCTATAGATCCTTTGGCTCGCGGCCCGTGTGTGTTCTCTGTTTTTTTTTTCTTCTTCCGATAGTCGATGCAAGACCGTTATCGCTTTTAGCGAGCATCGTGCCTATTACGATGTTAAATACGATTCTAGTCTAATAGAAACATGCTACAGTGGATCATGCGCATCGTACTTGTTTTGTAATTGTGCACGACGTAGCCTGCACGACATAGACTTCTTTGTCGCTTTATGAAATTACGATGGGGTTTTCGCTAAGAATTAATGAAGTTCCTGGTAGTGTGCTCCACGGGAATCGGGACGTATGAAAAACTTGTGCATTATGTATATAACCGTCTGGCATGAAATGGAACGTGTAACCGCAAAATCGATCGTCGCTTATGGCTGTAAGCAACGTTGTGTATACGAAGGAGTTTATGACGTTCGCCCTACAATTTTGTTGCTCTTAACGGTGTGCTTTCGCAATCGACACCGCATTCTTTGGGTATAACCTATAATTTTACTTTACAGACTTCACCGTCATCCATTTTCTTTTGAGGTTTTGCTTACGAGCTATCACTCTTTTACCTGACTCTAGTGCAGATTTTCTCATGGTTCGGTAATGAGGATGCACGTTTCTCACCGAATTTAGGTATTTTTTAAATTGGAATAACTTTTTGTATGTGCGAACTTTGAAGTCCGTCGATTTAACTTTCTTCAGATGTTTTTGCCATTGAATTTGATTTGAGAAAAACTGTTTACAAGTTTTACATAAGGTTTGGACAATTTTTCGGTACGTCAAACTTTCTGAAAATTTGTAAAAAAAAAGTTTTTTTTTCTACTCTCCTACGTAGGCAAAGCATCTTGAATCATGTAACGAAATTTGAGACTTACATCACGTATGTAGATTTACGCGATGATCGTGAAGATTGTGAAATTTCTTCTGAGCGAAGTAATTAATTGGAGAATTTGGTGAAAGGAACTTAAAAAAAATAATAACGTCTACAGTAAATTATTACGTGGCAGAGATAAGAGTGACAGGAAATGTCTATTTGATTATGTTGTCTGATTTGTTGAACTTAGCATTCTCTTCCGTTCTACGAATGTAAAAGTTTCTTATCAGGCAAATGCGAGAATCCGGTCACTCGACTGGTGTAATAATATTGAGGCGGTAGGAGGCAGGAGGCAGGAGGCATATAACTTTATTGTCTCCTTTTCATTACCTTTCCCAAAGAGAATTATTAACGATGCATACTACTCGTACCAGTCGATACAGTCGATTCCCTATGCATCGACCTGTATGACTTTTCCTCTTCGACCCCATTGAGCTTCAGCGTGAATGACATCAAAAAGTTCTTTTCAGCAAAGTTAAGCAGAGACCGATGAGTACGTCAACACGTGTGAAACTATAGAAAAAGAAGGACTGTTAATTGAAGCTTCGTTGTTTAAGATTTTCTAAGATTAAGAACTTTAGATTAGATTTCAATGAAAAAATAGTATACAATCTTTTTGTGACCAAAAAATCGCAGCGACAATCACGAATAGTGAACACTTCGGTATCAATAATTGATTATGATCGATTTGTTTAAATTTATCGTATCTCACAGTGAAACTGCGTTTCGAAAGATTGCTTTCACCGGCGACCTTGAGACAAAGTTATCTGCCCGATAAAGAAGTTGCTTATAATCAAAAGGAAGTCATTAAAAACTTAACTGAACTGGAACCTCCCGTCGCACAAGTTTTCTTACACTTGATGGTCGCCACGATGAGAAGATAAAGTGAGACGATTTAAAAAAAAAAAAAAACGGGAGAATACTCATGTTTCATTAATCCAAACTGTCGTAACCCCATTAGAGTTAGCACTGTGGAATACATATTACATTGATATTTCGAATTCCTATATATTGTGTTAACGTCATTGCTCGTTGGAAGAAATAAAAGAATCTATTAAAACACACGCCGACTGGGGACTCTGGCGAGTTGAACGATTCGCTGGTTCGTAAGATGCGCATGCGCGATAGACTCAGCTGTTGCGCAACATTCCGAAGCGGTTCGAACCTATGCTGCGCGCAGTGTATAGTGTTTAGTCTAGGATGCAACTATGCAACTGCATTCAGATGCAGCCACAAACACAGCCATAGTTCAATCGTCGCGTTCAGTCCTAATGATATATGGATTACATCTCTTGTGTGTATCACATACGTCGCTCTCGCAAAGAATGGCATGATATTTAAAATGGTTATCTCGCGACACGCCATTTGAAAAAATACAGTTTTACAATAAAGTATATATGTATATACTATGTATATACCTTTTCTAAATATATTTAATTTTTTTTTTTTTTTTTTTTTTTAAATGGCTGCTATCACAAGGCGAGAGAACTGTACAATTTTATACAGTTTCCGGTCAAAATAAAGAGTTCCGCAGGCAACATTTTTTGGGTGCGAGGACTGCTTGGAATGTTTAGGTGAAATTGCTCGGGCACTGCGATGACAATCTGTCTATGGCGTGACGAAAATCTCTGCCGATACTAAAGGGGACTAGGTGCTTTATCTTGACACAGATAAGGAAGATGTGATATACTTTTTCTATTGCGTACGTACGTTATGCTATTGGATAATTCTATGACAGCGATCGCCTTTATGTAAATATTAGAAATGAAAGTCATCTGGGGCACATGGCAAATCGATCGTACAATCTCGGCTGTTACTTTTTATTCGGAGTATTTCACTAGACGTTTCTCAAGAGTCGAGTGGGAGACGCTGAAAGTTTTATTCTCGTAAGATTCTCGATTATTACGTATATTAATAGTGAATGATAATTTTTATTTTTTATTTTTATCATCGTGCACTTGCTCACGCCCAATAAGCGCACTGTCAATTTTATTGGCTCCAGGTTGTTTTACGTGATATGAAAATTATTTGCATTTGAAAAAGTTAGTGGTATTTTTGAAAAACAAAGAAATGACAATCGGGTAGATAATTTTATTGGCAATTCACTTTTTTAAGGACTCTAACCATTTTTTTTTCTGTTTTTCTTTCTCTGTACAAAAGTTTCTACAGAGCTTTCATATGAGATACATATTTTATACATATACATATGTATATGAGATATATTTTTTAATTTACTCCACCTGTATTACATTTTCGTGGGCGTATTGGATGTATTGATAACAGCTTGGTTTTTTACATTTTACATTTTTTCCATTTTATGAATGTCACAGGTTTGGCGTACTTTTCGATATTGTTATCAGGCGTCTCTGCGAGGCCTGTTTACGAGTTTTGTATAGAGATAGTCTAGGACCCGGGCGTAAAGTATCAAATAAGTAAGAACTGACTTTTTTTTTCCAATAAAAAAATCGTTATTAGGTACCCATATGAACGAAAAGTCACAAGAAATGATGAAAATGTACGAATTACGAGGAAAGGGAGAAGGTCGACCAATACAAATATAGGCTGGATAAGAGAGGTTTTCCTATGCATGACAAACAGTAAGTAAATAGGGAGTAAACAACGAAGGACTATTACTCATTCCTCGTATAGTCGTCACACTGACACATGTTTTACAAACTGCACATACAACACATACCTGCTTATTTGCCTCAGACATATTTTGCTAGAAGTTAACAATAAACGAATAAACAACAAAATCTAGGACACCAATTTTATTAGTTTTCGAAATTTCCGCCCATCACAATGTGACAAAATCCAAAAAATTCCCATTCACTTATTATCAAGTTAGGCGTCTTATCTAAGCACATAACGATGATCCATAAGTAGATCGATTAATTTTCCATTGTTGTTCACGATGATTTCATAAAAAACGAAAAGTAGGTTAAAGATATTTAATCATTCAATTTATATACAAAGTCATTACTCCGCTATCTCCTCCATATAGAAATCAAAGTGGCTCTTAACAGTGTAACATTTTTTAAACAAAAATACAAAAAATTTGTCTTATGAGTAACAAGACCTCCTAAATAATATATCAAAATAAGAAAAAACAAAATTTCATAAGACGTCCAAACAGTTTTGGATATTAATTAGATAGAGTATATAATTTCTACTCTCATTCCATGTTCCTCTCTAAAATAAAAAGATTAATTATCGCGCAAACAGAAGTTACATGTATTCTCCTACTAGGTATAAAAAATTATCAAAAATATTATTGTCACGAAGTAAGAAACTTTCACGCTGATTAAAATTTTCGGTACTGTCGTCAACCGACCTCTAAGAGATATCATCGCCTGATGAAAATCTCGAAATTACCCTGAATCAAATATAATCTGTATGTGACACACGTGTATGATCACACTTGCCTCGCAATTGGTATTTCGCATTTGAATCAAAGATCTCAGCCGGTCGATAGTAGCCGGTCATGATTGATCGCATTCTCGAATGTGACGCAACCAATGCGTATCGCAAAATAGAGTCGCCAGATAACGAACAGTCCTTGTGGTATCTACGACATTAAAAAATTGTAGGCGAATACATAGGGAGGTAACGGCTGTTTCATTAAGTACCGATAATCGGTAATAAGTGTGTAAAAATTTTGGCAGGAACACAACAATCACGTGCAAAGTTGTAACAAATTTCTTATCGGTCGATACTATCAGTGCAACCCGTGTTTTTTAAACGGTGTTACATATCCCACGACCGATAATATATCGGTATCCTATATCCTCCGGAGTGGTTATATCAAATCAAAATTGTACACACTTAAGATAATTGCTAACTGAAAAAAAATAACTATCGAGGCAAACAGATATTACGTGAAGCAAGAAGCACCTATCGTGTGATTCTGTTTTATGAATTGGGCACTGCAAAAAAAATTAATTTCGCAAATTTCGTTCAACCGCAGTGTTAGAATTTTGTAAATTTTATATTATTTCCTTGGTATCTTCGTAAAAAACGTCAATCCAATTGATTAACTCAGAATTTTGAATAGTATACACGACACAAGATTTTAGTATTTTGCTACTTGCGCTATTTCAGAACCGGAAATATTGACAAAGTCACTTACAACCGGAACTTAATTTCGCGTGTAAACTTCAAGTCGGTCAGATCAGCTGTTCGTCTGAAATTTTTCATACGGACTGTTTTAGGCATGCATACCATCCAGACAGATAATTTTTTAGCGACGGCAAATGCATAAGGCATTCCCGGTACCTTGATACCGTAATCGATCCGAATACCATACTTGGTCCTGCCTAAAAAGTGATACGTACATAAATTACTTTCATTAATACTTTGAGACTCCATTATACTATCAGCAAATCTTATTAACCATCATAAAAACTAATTCAGTAGACGTTATTAACAAACTGGAGCAATCTACTAATTACTTAAGGTTTTATACCTCCGTGAGAGACTATCTCATGATTAAGAAATGAATGGAAAGAATGTGTTTAAAAATAGTTTAAGTCAATGTTTTCATAGTTTTTATATGTATTCTTCAGTTCACTTTTTAGAAGACACCGACTCTTCGGGTTCGCTGAACACGGCAATTAGGTACCGTGAAATTCCGAAGATTTCGTTGTTGCGGACATTATACTGAATCGCAACAGTCAATAAAGATATATACGACTTCCTTTCTCGCTTCGTCAAACACATCGATCTTAGTATCGTCGCGTTCTTTGCTACCGTGAAAAATAAGAGCATTGTATGTTACGATCGGTATAGGTTGACCTTCATAGCCGGATAGCCGTTCTTGACCGGTTAGACCAAGCATAGCGAGCGTTGCTAACATACGCAAACGAGTTGGTTCAGTTAGTCAACAGTTGCCCATACGTAGTGACTGTGAAAACCATTGGTAAATTATCATTATTTTTATTTATTTCTCTGCTTGGCGTCCGGCTACTCATTGGGATCTCATTAGAGTGTTTATCTTCAGTTTCTTATTTCCTTTATTATTACCAAACCAGAATCACTTCACTATACAATTTATCTTTTACGCTAAAATAGATCTTTAATCTCTGTCCTTATCCTCCTTATCTTCCTAGTATCTCTCCATTTCAATGTCTCCTTTCTCATTAATATATTATTTCCAATTGATAGCTAGATCCGTTTGTCCTATTTGGTACCATTGTCTTTTTTCTCAATCATAATACACAATTTTATTTTTTTATCCAATTCCTTTTCGTTTCCATTTCTTATGATTTTCCATATTCTTAAATCTTTTCCTCATTTCATTAAATTTCTTTATTTTCTTTCTTCGAACACTTTATTTTGGCGATTTCTCATCTTTTATTTTCATACATATAATATATTTTTATATTTTTTGTATACACTTGTTTCGTGTTTTTTTTTTTGAGATATTCATAGTATGATACATTTCTAGATTTACGTTGCCTGTAATGAATAGCCTGTTATAAATAGTTATATCAGCATCTGTCAGAGACAAGAGACGATAGAAGGGAGAGGAAGTGAATAGATACGAGGAGAATTAGATTACAGAAAATGCTGCTTTCGCTATTAACATGGTGTTAATAGCGATTACACTGTACGTAAACACTGTACGATGTCCTTACTGATATCACAGCCCTTGTCGCGATTGCTTTAGCATTTGACCCTCTTATGCAACATTATATTCTAATTACTTTTCCTGACCTCCAGTTTCTCATTTTCTTCATGAATATTGAGTGTAACTATTTTGAAAAGAAATTCGCGTTTTTAGGTAATTTACAGAACTTTTACAGAATCAGTCTCCAAAACAGATTGCTTTATCGACTGCATTTTTTCTTTTCAAAATAATAAAGGCACATTGTTATTATAAGAAACATATGTTCTTATCTGAAGCTTGGACATGGAGACTTTCTTATATGCACGTGTACGTGGACACTGAACGGACACGGAATACAAATATTTTTGTAAATTACATCCGTTTTGAAAACACGGCATTGTATTCGATAAAAATATTTTCGTGCGATAATAGCCTTCGCGTGTATGTGTGATAAGGACTTGAAATTATTGATGAGTATTTTATATAATTATTCAGGTACCTATATGTGTGATTATCAGACTTTTTTCTTACAAACATAAATTGAACGTATCGAAAGAAAAGTGTTTTTTTTTTTTCGAAACCAGTCAACAAAATTACTATAATACGTTTTTGTTCACTGACCCCAATTCGGTAATGATATCACGCGACTAGAACCTTGGTATTCTAAATTTATAACGAATTCTTATGTCATAAGAATTGTGATGACATTTATTTACGTCCAAAGTCGTGAACAAGTCCTAAAAGTAATGTTACAAAACCACCAGCATATCTATGGACGTTGGATCTCAGTGAAACAGATTGTTTCCTTCGGTTTTGTATTTCACATCGAAATACTTGGTTTATCCCACCCCAGAAACTGCTTTTTTAAGGAAGTCAAAAAAAAGGGATCTATAAAAAAAAGTAGACAATAAGTTACCAGTGTCGTGGCCAATTTTCGTGGACGAGACAGATTGTTGAGTTCAGGTGTCGAAGAACGAAAAAACATTTTCAAGAGAAGGAACACGTGTCATTGCAGGGTGCTTTAGTATGGCGACTATATGAACAGGTACTACTTTAGTCAAGACTATAGAAGAATGTCTGTGGTTACGAAAGCATATTGTGACATCGTTTGATATTCATGGAGAACATTTATTTACGAATGGGAATTTAGCTACGAGCAGGAGGAACCAAAAAAATGTGTTATATCAAACAGAAAAATTTTCACAAAATTCCTTTGCGTTCCGGTATGCCGATAATGATAATTGAGTTATAAAATAAGTACAGTCACTTTACACCGTTATTACTACTATCATTATTGGGGGTATTTTTTTCCGTTTAAATCCATTTCATTGTAACGCATTGAAAAACTGTACTGATGGATCTTAAGAAAGCTACGAGAGTTATGCTTTGCTGTATGCATTAATGGGTGAGAGTAGGTATTAGATATGTAGTGAGGTATCGCGTCGAGATATACGAATAACGAGCGAATATTACGAATAAGAATCTTTACTGTCGTCACTTATCAAGTACGTTTTTGAAACGAAAGCAACACAGAAATAAAAAGGAATGTACTAAACAAGAGCACGTACTGCTTATTTAAGAACTAGATAAAATTAATCTTGAAATTTTGTTTTTTCAAAGTTTCTAAAATATAAACTAGATTTCATTAGCACAATACGAATAAAGCTTACAAACCTAGAGTTTGGGTATACTGAGAAGTATAACGGGATCTTCAAATTTTTATTTTAGGCAATATCTTTTTTTTGTTTTTTTAATATTTCAGTAATAATGACGATCTATTTATGCTGCTACTTCGGTACAATGTTGAAGTAAAACTGATAAAAATAACGAGCGATAACGAAAAAAAAAGAAAGAAATAAGATCAAAGGTAGCAGAAAATTTATTAATATTAATTTTATTATCGCGGTTATCATTGATGTCCATTAAAGGCCCGATTCGTACGAGCAAGCGGTTTCGCGTTTTCCTGCTGTCGAATAAAGGCGCAACACATTCTTGACGCTTCTCGTGTATATAACCGCGTTACTATTTTTATCCGTGATACGTCACATGGGGAGTTTGAGACGCATCCAAAATTTTCTCGGCGCCTCACCAAAAATCTTCTAGCCGGCGCATCTCTCGCACGTGGTAGTACCGTTTCGAGATCGTTCGCCCCCTTCACGTGAGTCACACATGCGTATTCGAACTTATACGATTTTTATTGCTTCCTCGCCAATAATCATTAAATCATTGAATTAATGAGTTACAACACGTAACTCGTGTAATCACACGAGTGTGATTTAGCGATTTAGTGATTTAGACACGAGCATATTTCTAAATGTGCAACAAAATCGATGGGCTTAATAAAATGAAATTTGTAGAGCCAGTTCTATTTCCAGGATTCATGAAAACTGAAATAATTTATTGATTTTTATTATACCTATATCGATTTCATTACTTCGAACTGAATTTCAACGAATTTTCTACGAACAAATAACAAAATAACATGAATCCTTAAAAAAAAAAAATTAAAAAATAATTTGAAAAAAAAAGTTAATTTTATCAAATTCTATTTTATACGATCTAAGGAAAAAATGTTTTTGAAATTCTCTATTAAATTCTTATTGACAAAGATAGCTTCATTGACATATTGAATGAGATGTAGAAGCCAGGCGGAGTTAGCAAAGCTAAATGAAGCATAGATATGGGTGGGGATAAACTTTGATAACAGAGTGACGTAATGAGCTTGATATTCCGTGAATGAACGCGTGGCTTGTTACTTTTCGCGATAGCGTCTGCGTCAGAGGCCATGAATTAATCCTGGACAAAAAATTCCAACGTGCTTAACGCTAAATCGATGTAACAGCAAACTCGTTACCGGAAGACGCAGGAAGGGGAAACCGATCTGCATTCCTTCTTACGCGCACGAAATTTTCTTTTTATTTAAAATTATACACAGAGCAAAAATGCTAATCAGTAATCAAACTTATATTTCGTACAGGTATAACACTATGTACCGTACGGACGAAAATAATTTATACATGCACAGTACGTTACTGTTATCTAATAAATATGAGGGTAGTACAATATCGTATTCCAAGCTAGGTAAATTGGACCAGGTCGACGTTCGGACCAATCTGGATCAATTTGTTACTGTAATCCTTCCTATATAAGTATTGACCCATACTATGATATCTTTAAAATAAAATTTTCCCAAGTAAAACGTTGTTTACTAAAAAGACTTAGTTTTGTGCATCAGAAAAGTTCTTATCCTTAAACTGGCAATCTATACAATTGTCATAACGATTGACCGTGAATGATCGAACGGATTATATTTTCAAGGTAAATCAATAGCAATTTTTCATCGACGTCAATATTTTACTTTGTATCTTCAAAATCATTATTTTTTACTTAACAAATTATCAGCGTCGCTCTGCTTGGCAACAGGTTATCGTATAATCGAAAACCGTCATATCTATTTGTCATTGCGATAATTACTACCAACCGTGTTCTTCAATGCATTTCGATAAGAAGTACATAATCACGTTAATAACGAGATGCATCCTAGATTATGATACGAATAGTAGCACGAATGAATGGTTATATAACTGATGATAAATTATTATATCGTCTGTTGGCATAATTATTATAACTGTATATACGTGACACGTGAGTAAATATACGTCACGACGATAGTCCGGTATCCGGTATTGTCGTCCGGTATTATATTATCGTGAATGTATTGCGAGTCTACGCAAACGTAAATCAGCGTAATCCTACCTTGTCGTTCCGAGACGATTAATTTAAATCACAGCAAGTATATATGTATATTTGCAGGGAAATAAAAAATAT